TTGCTTCCATTCTGCAAACTTTGTACAATATGGTTTTCAGATTAAGTTGTATATATTTTGTGATAGTTGTAGTAAAAATTTGATCGTGGTTTCATTAGCAGTTTTGTTAGAATCAGTATATTCACGTATAGTTTCTAATCAAATACACCTTTAATTTTTTTAAACATTATTAGTTTATAAAATGTAATCTACCTAATCATATATAAATCTAAGTTAAAACCCTTTCATGAAATTATTAATATCCTGTATCAGTATTACACTACGCTTTACAAGTGTTACATATAAAATAAAATATAATATTTTATTAATTTTAGTTGAATTAAAATTATATATAAACTTTCTATTCGCATTTTTAATTTAGTTTATAACCGACTGACGTTAGTGTTTGAGTTAAAACTTATGGCAATATATATTATAATAAAATTGGGCAGAAAAATGTTTACTAGCAAATTTTAATTTTCCTTTTCGGATTGAATTTTGAATTAAATTGCGGTTAATTTGTGTATTTTGAAAAATCTCGTTTACATCGTCATCTGCTTGAAAGAAATCATTATCAATATTTTCACTCCTAATTCACAAGAAAAAACATAGACAGTTTATCCAAGCTTAATTGCTGATAGTATTCAAATATGCTATTGTAAAGATTTTATGTAGCAAAGACAGATAGATATTTTGCAATGTATGTAAGAGATCCACAAAAGATTTCTCACTGTGTTTAATACTGCAAATGTGCATCAATCAATGATTTTTCCTTCTCTAACAGTTCGTGTGCCTTCCTTGGTAATTTTCCTAATTGTTACTTGATAATATTTATCAATAATTTCTATTTGTGTCTGATAACATCTGAGAAATGAATCAATTGCTATTCTTGGATTAAGATATTCCTCTTCGAAAAAATCCCACTCATAATCGTCAAGAATCATAATTCCACCTTCTTTCAAGAGATTCCATGATAAAACAGCATCTGATAGCACGTCGTGTGATTCGTGAGAACCATCAATAAAAATGAAGTCAAATTTCATCTTCTTTTCATGGTTTAGATTAATAAGTGTATCAACTGATTTGTTTTTGATAACTTCGATTTGGTTCTCTTTACGAGTCTTTTTAATATTTTCGTGGAAAGTTGTTTCATTATCGTTGTTGGGAAATATTTTTAGAAAAATATCGGTGGTAATTAATTTTGACTCAGGATTTTTGCATAATTCTTCCAAAATCCAAGTGGTGGATCTTCCTTCGAAGGCTCCTATTTCGAGTACATTTATTTTCTTGTTTTTAAGACAAGATAGGTTCTTTTCCCAATAAGGAAGATGCGGCTTAAGTCAATCGTGTGTAAATTTCGAGGTAAGAACGTTGATGTTATTACGACTGATTTTTCACACGGTGTGCAACGTATAAAAAATCAATTTTACAATACCGGATCATTCGGGTAGTACATGTTATGATTATAATCCAACACCATTTTTACTAATAAAAATGGTGTTGGATTATAATCATAACATGTACTACCCGAATGATCCGGTATTGTAAAATTGATTTTTTATACGTTGCACACCGTGTGAAAAATCAGTCAATAACATCAACGTTCTTACCTGTAGTGTAAATTTGAATTTGGTCTCTTCTTTTACTTGTTTTCCGCCTTCGTCATGCTTAATTACTTCTTTTGGTATGGACATTTTTTTTAAACATTCAAAAAAGTCGGTTTAGTCAAAAACTTTAATGAAAAGTATTTCGAATTTGCTAGTAAAATAATTTAGTCAAAATGACATCGCTAGCCTGCAAGTGTGCATGTCTATGATCTGTTATGACCTATTGCTAATTATAAGTTATGACATAACATTTACGATTACATTATGACCTCCTTGTTCATGTATAGTTGAATGGTCAACACTGCTGGTGCAATTAAGTCATAACTAGTAACGTAATTACACTATCTGTTCCCATGAATGTTTGGCAAAAGCGTGCGACAGTTTAGGCAGGCACTTTATACTCTGAATTCATGCTCAAATTGAATGCTCATATATTACAATCGCAATTGTAATTAGGAGTAGTTATAAAAAAATTTTTTGAAAACTGGTTATATCAGTTGTATCCAGAAATTTAAAATAAGTATATTGATCTTTTAAAATATTTATGCTTGTCAAGCAATATCCATTATTTATTCTTATGTAACTATAAAGCATAAATCTATGTTCGTTCAATAAAATTCGATTCATTGCCCTATCATGGAGTACTTCGCTGCACTTTGAACAATAATATAGCAACATTTTTGATAATATGGTTGTTCTCAAAGATTTGATTACTTATAGATTACTCGCTGGTTGGGTATATATAAATTAATTTCTTGCGAACTATTAATAATTATATTCAAAGCACAAAAAGATTTTGTGATTTATTGGGAAATATGAACAGATGCAAAATTATTTATTAAACTCCCATCTATTATAAATTTTTTGTCGCAAAGTTTTAATAGCAACGAACATTTATTAAGTATATAAAATTCGCATAAATAAAGTCAAACATGTATCAATTTAAATTACAGGATTTATATAATAGAATTATCAAAATTTAGAACACATAAAAATCATCTATTATATACGAAATTCTAGTACTACAGCATAAAACCATTTACATATTACTTACTATGTATTAGAACTCAAGATTTTGAAAATATTTATTATTGGTACAATAGTGTAAGTACTCTAACGACATTTAAAATTTTTAATGATCTCGCAAATAGGCTTAACTACAAAAAAAGATAGTCTGGAAAATGTTGAATATGAATTATTTAAACATAGCGATTCTTAAATTAATAAAACTAATAAAAACCACTTAAGAAGTATCTTCTGCAGCATTTCGATAACACGCAAATGCTTTTTCTTCGTCGATTTCTGTTCCTATTCCTAAATTATAACAATCACCAAGTCTATTATAGGCTTTAGTGTATCCATTCTCAATTGATATTTTATATAATTCAAAAGCTAATTTCTCGTTCTTTTCGGTTCCTATGCCATTTTCATAACAAGATGCAAGATTATGTTGCCCTACGGGTAATCCTTTTTCGGCAGCTTTTTTATAATACATGAACGCTTTTTCTCTATCCTTTTCAACACCATTACCTGTATCATAACAGTATCCAAGATTATTATACCCAGCAATATCTTCTTTTTCAGCGGAACTTTGAAAAAATTTAAAAGCTTTTTCATAATTTTTTTCAATCCATCTTCCATTACTATAACAATGACCTAGAAAACATTGAACTAACGGATTTTCTTGATTATTTAAGCACCAGCCAATAATAATTTCCGGCTTTTGCTGTTTTTTCTTGAAAAATTGATCCATTAAATCATAAATTGTTAAGATATATTTTCCTTTCATTCTCTCTTCATTATATAAATCGCATAGTTCTTTTACAATTTGTCTAAAAAAATCATGTGAATAGTTATTATCTTTAGAATCTAAATCATCTAAATCATCTAACTCATCTAAATCATTTAAATCGAGGTTATTATTTTCCATTTCCAACTTATTATTATGTGTTAAATGATCAGAATCAGTGTAGCTGGTATTTGGAGAATTATTATCAGAAAATAAATTATTTTTTATAAACTTATTTTCATTATGTATCGATTCTGCTTTCAATTGTTCAAAAGAGAGAACGACTTCTTGAATGTTGGGACGTTTTATTGGATCTTTCTGCCAACAATCTAACAGCATAAAATGTATTAATTTTTTTTTTAAATTAACCAATTAAATCATACAAAATTTTGTAAATATGATCATGTAGCATACCATTATATAGAACAGCATATAGTATTGGCGTTCCTTCAATAAATTTTTCTCTGACACCATCTAAGATATCGACCATTAAATCAGAAAGTTTGTCTGCTCCATTAATTGTTTTAAATGGCGGATAACCACTAGAAATCTCCCATAAAAGTACGCCTAAACTATAAATATCAGACTTTTTGTTTATTTTACACGGTTCTTTATTTAGAAAGTATTGAGGATCTATATATGGTAAAACTTTTGGAAGCTTATTAAACAAGCTGAATGTATCAAATAATCGTCCTGAAAGTCCAAAATCTGCAATTTTAATGTTATCTCTGTGTATCAAAATATTATTTGAATGCTATATTAGATCGTTAATTTAATAAAAAGAACAGAAGGTGAATTAGAATATTATATTATGAAAATGAAAAATGAATCATCAATAACGAATTATAAATCTTTTAAAATAGTTTAATTACAAGATTTCCATGTACGATTTCTTTTTCATGCATAAACTTGACACCATTAACAAGTTGTTGTGCTAAATTTAATTTACGTTCCCAATTTAGCTTACTAAAAGTGTTTCGTAAATAAGTTGTAATCGTTCCATCACCGGCATATTCAAGAACTAATAAGTATTGAGGTCCTAAAAATTTACAAAATAATTTGAGTATATTTTTACAGCTCTAAAATCAAATTTCAAAGATATAAATAAACATGAATTAAAATCATTATATGCAAATATGTTTTAAGTTCAGAAAAAATGAGAAGACAATCAAAATACTGTTCCACATCACACTTCAATACCTTTTGTCATCTTTTGTTGATAGTTATATTCTCTCAAGTCTACAAACATAACCAAAATAAAGACCTTACTGTACCTTCTTTCTTAGTAATGCCGTAAAATTTTATGATATTTTCATGTATGATATCTTTATAAAAATTAATCTTTAGCATACATATTAAAAATGTTAGAATATAGACATCATAAATAAAAATTAAGAATTTTATATTTAAGGTACCTCACTTAAAATTTCTTTGGCAGTAATCATATCGATATTTTCAAATGATTTCAAGGCGACACCAATGTCAGACATTTCCGCAACTGCATGATATGTGTTTCCAAACGTTCCAGAACCAATCAAACGAATATTTCTAAATACACAATAATCGATATATTTATCTATCACCGACGCTTCTTTTAGCAATTCATTAAATGGAACATCTGCTTTAGGGGATAAATCTTTGAAGGTCATGTTTCTGCTTTAGAAAGAGAAATTGTGTATGAAAGGTGAAAGGTGAAAATTTTTTCATTTGGCATTTTATATGTATACGTAATTGCAAATCTTTGTTTGTGTAATGTATACTTACGGTATGTGTGTGTACGGTATTCCTAGCCTCAAATTAGATGTAAATCCTCTAAAGTTTCTGAAACATCTGCATTTTTTTTTCATGAAGAGGGATTCTTTTTCTTTTAATTGTGAAATAGCGTTAATTAAATCTTAAAAATTATTAATGATTCAGTTTAATATTTTAATAGTGTTAAAATCCTGCACTGAAAATCTAAGTGCATCAAGTATTGGGGTGTGCGATACAGTATGTAAATCAAATCTAATTAAGATCCGGATTTTTTAATGGCTATATGTCGATCACCTTTATATGTACAGTT